AAACTGGCAGAGATAGGTCCAAAGTTACTATTGAAGTTGAATAGGAAGTCATATACTAGCAATCTAAATGTGACCTTAAAATTGACCTTTGACCTACTTTTCACCATGAACTGAACTCTGCTAATTTCTTTCTCTTTTAACTCCTAACCTGGCAGAGATAGGTCCATTGTTACTATTGAACTTGAATAGGAAGTCATATACTGGCAATCTTACTGTGAAATTGACCTTTGACCTACCTTTTGATGAACTTAACTTTGATTGTACCATTTTAAGTTATATATATATTTTTTTGCATATTTTGAAAATTCTTGTTGATTGCATTTTTACAGCTTGTCAAGCAAAAGACTGGTGGCTGTGTCCCTTATTTTGTGTATGTGGGGGTCTATACAAATGCGCTTGCTCCAGCTGGTGGTACAATATTCGGAGGCGGTATTGCCTCTCTGATCCTCTAGTTATAAACAGAAAAGCAGAATGAACTCAATAAACCTTAAAGATAAGGATGATGATCATATACAAAAATTTATTTACCACAATACATAGTTCTTGTGTTCTTAGTTTTGTAAAAATTACACCAAGATATTGCAGCAACAAGTATTATTGCAAACAGCAGGCACAACAAAAATATGTTATTGTAAAAAAAAAAAAAAAAGAAAAGAAAGAAACAAACAAATGAGCAATAAGAGTAAAAACATCTGTAACTTGAATTAAAATGCAGCCATGTTCAGTTCAAAAATCAAAATTATTCTTAGAAGAACACTTCTTTTGAAAGAACACAAACTACAAGTTTCGGCATTCAACATTTATGTTTATAGGAACAATTATGGCAGCTGTTCGCAATTTTTGTTCTCTTGATGAAGTTGCTATGAAAACACTTAACTTGAAAAGAAAAGATAAGCAACAGATTCTCATACAGTATGAAGGTTCCAAATGTCATTTATGGCAATAGTTTTCCTTCTGACTAGCTTCACAAATACTTGAAGACTTTAACCTTGCCTAATGCCTCCGTAACAACCAGCTCTCCGCGGTGGTTAATCCTTAACGCCATAGGGTGCCACAGTTTGTCCAGCTTGGTCAAGATAAACTTCTTGAACCGTCCATCTGGCAGCAGCAAGTGGACCCTATGATTGAGGTTGTCCGCCACGAAGATGTATCCGAAGGCGTCTGTGCACACGCCGTAGGGTTCCAGTATCTGATCCTCCTGGATTCCGTAGGTGCCATGCTCCCCGATCAGCTTCCCCTCCGAGCTGAACACTTTGATATTTGGAGCAGCCCAGTCTGTGACTATGATGGAGTCATTGCTGGTGACGGTCACGTAGTACGGGTCAGTGAAGTAGTTGTGACTGTCCTCCTGTTTGGCTGGGATGGTCTGGACGATGTGTCCTGTGTCTGGATCATGGATGGTCAGTCTTCTCATCCCACAGTCCACCACTATCAGCTGACCCTTGCTGTTGACTGCAATCCCCCTAGGATGCTTAAAGTGGCTGTGAATAATTGTGACTGCATCCCCCTGTGGAGAGAAAATCTTCACATCTTCCTTCTCGTTGTCTGTCACAGCCAAGTTGCCGTTCTTCATGATGGCGATATCGTACGGACACCACAGGATGTTTTTGCCCATTCCACCAAAGTCGTTGAGGTACTTCCCCTGGGAGTTGTACACCTTGATCCTCTTGTTGTCTCTGTCCACCACCAACATGTCTCCCTTCTGATTGACAGCTATACCGCTGGGCCAGATCTCCTTGTGGTCATACACACCTTTGCATTCAAACTCCAGCTGGAGCTCAGGACTGCCAGATATGTTGGGTAGCACAGAGGACATGGGAACCTTAATGTTGCTCAAGGATCCAATATTAGTTTTCCCCATTGATAGCCCACACAGTTCTGCCTTACCAAAAAGGATTTCCACATTCTCCTTAGTGGCATTGCCTTCTTTGAACTCGATGGAGAGAGAGCTTTTAAGACCGTCAATCTCCAGATATATTAGTTCAGTAAGTCTCTTGGTGACCTGTTTTTGCAGGTACAGGATCTCCTCCCCTTTCCCAAACTGCACAAGCTTCTGGAGGTCCTGGTCATGGGACTGCAGAGAGTGCAGGGTGGCCGTGATGGCCTCCCGCTTCGTTCTCACATGCTCCAGCTCATTATCGCATGCTTCGTTGACTTCCTTCAGCAGGCCGTTCTTGTGATCATCTATCATTGCCTTCAGGGTTTCCGCCTGTTCTTCAATGGTTTCGTTAGTCTGTGTTCTCTTTTTGTCCAGTTCAGATGTGTATGTCTCCATATAGTTCAGGTACTCTTCTATGCCAGGGATCTTATTCTTGATGGTGTCCAGTAGGGTCTGTATACGTCCACCATACTGCTGACCAGCTTCCTGTAGACTGGACCATGTGTGGCTGTCGTGGGCGTGGACTTTGCACTCTCGGCAGACCAGCTGTTGACACTGGGTACAAAACAGTGTGATGGGTTCCTTTTTGTGCTGGGGACACTGGATCTGCTGGTTTGACCTTATATCCTCGTCATATTTTCCTGTAAAAAAGTGAAGACAAATTTTATTTCACTGAATAAATAATTAAAAATGAGGTCTTATGACATGTCAGTTTAGTATATTTCACAGTTGCCAGCTTTAGGGCACTTTTGCAAAATATATTAGATTGAGGACACAAATTATGTTTAGATGGTAAATTTGATCAATAGATTAGTACCAAACTACAGGATATTATTCATTTGGAATGAAGGTAACACTACTGCTAGCTGTAAGTTAATGATTAAAGTTTTTCACAGTGTACCATATGAGATGTATGTATATTTATATTTAGTGTTATAAAATTGTATAAATTGTATGAAATTCTCTGAAATAACTAAATACCAGATCTACTATAGATATGGGCATAGATGAACACTGGAGTAAGATTTATATGTAAAATTAATTGATCCGTACCCAGCTGCATCTCTTTGAAGGGTGCCACTTTGTGGTTCCTGGTCAGCTTGGTCCTCTTATGTGCCTCTGTGCAGTGGTCGCACATGTCATCCTGGCACTCCAGACACCTGGCCGTGGCTGCCACCTCCTTCTTGTCAAACTTACAGTATTCACAATGCTTTGGCTGGTCGTCCTGGCAATGGCAGATCTCCAGCAGGTGCTCCAGGAAGGGATTGGTGTCCAGTTTCTTAACGTCTTCTCTGGAGAGCTGGATAACTTCTTTGCAAACAGGACAACAGAGGGTGTTAGGAGTAGTGGTGGTTGACGCTGGAGAACCCTTCTTGGTGGTTTTGGTGTTAACGGTCTTTCCACCTGCGTTTGTTGTGACTAGTTCTAGGATGCATGTTCGACAAAATGTGTGCAGGCAAGGGAGAATGCGCGGGTCCTTGTAGGTGTGATTGCAATGCCTGCATGACACTATGTTTGTACGGACCAAGTCCAGGAGAGAGTAGATATTGCTGGTTGAGCTGCCTGTTGTCATCTTTGTTGCATTGTACTGGTACTTCTACTTCCTGTGAATGAATAAAAAAAGAATAGAAACTGAGATTAATATTGCATATACTCACAAAGAAAATGGTCTCTCTGCCAACAGTTTATCAGTCATTACTGCATGTATAGTCCATGGTGTAGTGCACAATGTGGTGTTTATTGATCTGAGCCCACACTTTCACCAAAAGTCAATGTAAGGACTGGTAGATCAATGCCATATACAGACAGGAAGTAAAGCTCTTAATCGGGCAATATAAAGATTAACGNGTTATTTTTTTTTTTTTTAATTGGGAAGGTAGGGTGCTTTATTGTTCACGCTGGCATATATTGGTGATTGGAAATGATGATTGTAATAATGGATTTTTTTTTCATTATTAGCCCACCTTACATCTCAGGGAGACTCTTTTAATGAGAAGCAATTGGATACACATTATAGAATTTCTGTGTGATTTTGAATTTCAACTTAAGCGTTTCCTTTTCTAGATACAAGGACAATTGGAGAATACAGAGAAAGCATGCTTATTGAGAGATTGCCGATCCATCTTTGGGCTGTAATAGCTACACTAGAACTGGGGTCATCTGTCAATATTCCAAAATGCAACAAGAAAGTGGTTTGTGAGAATATTCATTGTCCTCCTGGTATGTCGTATTTTTTTCTAATTTATTTTGTTTTGGTGCATTTAATTTTCATTTTATCCAAAGTTGAAGAACACTATTTTTGATACTGATGCCATGATGACTCAAAAAGGAAATTCATGTTATGTATGATTTTTTAAACCAACATAAAGCATATTCAATATATTGTCTTTAAACTTACAGAAGTGATCAATTTAAGTTTTAAAGTACCAATTTTGGTTAAGTACCAAAGTCAGTTGGACTGGATATTTTGCAAAAGGTTTACTTTATTTCCTATTTTATGCATATTTTAAAAGTTAAATAGTAAATATTTCCAAAACTGAAAGAATCATGGGAAAAGTAACTCTATATGTCTGACAAAAAGCTATATTTGGAGATTTTGGATATGACTTTAGATTTGACATTTGACCTTTATTTCAAGGTCAAATGGGCCAAAAGTTAGTAAAAATATAAATTCTTATGGAAAAATATTTATTTGCACTGAATTGTTTGACAGTCTGGAGAGAAGTTACACTTGGTGCCATCTTTCATTATCTTGAGTTGGGGTCAATTGGTGCATTTTCATGAGAGAAGTAGTCATAAGAAGCTAAAACTGAAAACACTCTTGTAATTCTGGAACAGTAAAAGTTGATCCATCTTGTTTGTTGTGATTTGTAGAGCTTGTTAAGTGCAACACTGCAAGTGGCTTCATTTTTGTTGTTGTTTATGTTTTTGTTAGTTAGTTTGTTTTCCATCTGGTTTAGGAGTCGCATTATTTCAAAAAGTAATGCTCAATGATAATTTTTTTTCAAAATGTGCAATATTCTAAAACTGGCAAAGATAAGCCCATAGTAACAATTGTACTTGAATGGCAGTTCACATATTGGCAATATTAATGTGTTCTAAGATGACCTGTGACCTATTTCTCACAATGAACTGTACTTAATTTGGAAATTTTCTGGACTTTTTATCTCTAAATAGTGCAGAGATATATCCATAGTTACTATGCAACTTGAATTGCAAATCATATGATGGGCAACTTAATGTGACCTTGAATTTGACATTTCGGGGGCATCTTCGATTAGTCCAAAGGTTCATTTTCATCATTTTTTTTTTTTTAAATCAAGCGTTCATTGGTCTGAAGTGAACATTTGGACCAGTGAACCTTCAGACTATTGCTATGGCCCTAATATTTCACTTACTTTTCCACATTTTGCAGCTAAAATGGATCCATCTATTGCTATGATATAATTTTATTGGGCTTAATCTCTTAAAAATTAGGTATTGATTTTAGTGTTAAGCATCATCAAAATTGACAAAATAACCTATTTTTGCATCATTATTTACTTTTATGTCTGTATATATATTACATCTTTGCTGCTTGTATTCTTTGATTTTATTATTGCTATAATTTATTTTTGTTATTAAATATAAATTTGTTTTTCTAGGTTATCAAGCAGAACCATGTGACCCAAGGAACAAATCTTCCGCCACTTGTACATGTATAGAGTGTCCGGATTGGTCTTTTCAGCCTCATGAAAATGATTTGATGGACAGCTGCTCATTAAAGTAAGTATATGCATGGATGGGAATGCTCTCTTATCTCTTATTGTGCAATCATTTTAAAATTGACAACTTTTGTTGAAACATTGGTCAACTGTATGATAAGCATATCTTTTGTCTTGGCAAGCTTTCAAACATGCACTTTTTAAATGGGGGGCGTCTCGATAGTCCGAAGGTTCATTGGTCCGAAGGTTCATTGGTCCGAAAAGTGGTAACATTTTCATCGATTTTTTAATCAAGGGTTCATTGGTCCGAAGGTTCTATAGTGAACATTCGGACCAATGAACNTTTTAAAATTGACAACTTTTGTTGAAACATTGGTCAACTGTATGATAAGCATATCTTTTGTCTTGGCAAGCTTTCAAACATGCACTTTTTAAATGGGGGGCGTCTCGATAGTCCGAAGGTTCATTGGTCCGAAGGTTCATTGGTCCGAAAAGTGGTAACATTTTCATCGATTTTTTAATCAAGGGTTCATTGGTCCGAAGGTTCTATAGTGAACATTCGGACCAATGAACCTTCGGACTATTGAACCTTCGGACTATTGCTACGGCCCCTTTAAATGTACAGACACAGATGTAGATGCACATAGTCATTTGTATCTGTCATCGACATCATCAATATTGCCATGCACTTTCACTGTAATACAAATAAAATGAAAACCATTTTATGTTCTATCTTTAAACTTTTCATAAAATGCAGGTCAAGTTGGGGGATCAGTCTGGGCTCCCTTACTCAACTAAACATGGCAATTTGTTACTATGCCATAACTCAAAAGTGTCCCAGTTTTCAATTTTCGACTGAGCGCTAATAGCGATATCACTTTTACATTTGAGGCTGTTACTTTCGACAAGTAAATCCTGTCACAATTGTCTTAATTTGCACATGCATAATTGCCATTTTATAATGTTTGTCATGTACGTAATCAAATAAGGAAGCAAGTTCTGGTTGCTAGTCAGAATAGCATATAACAAAGCATGAAAGCTTATAAAAGATTGAGTCAACCTCTAATGGGGAAATTTACTAGTGAAGAATGCTATGTATATAGAATATTATATCATCAACCCCTCCCCCCCCTG